TCCAAACTTCTTTATATAGATACTATACTCCAGGTGACCTAACCTCTAATTTCTAGACTCACTTTTGGCTCCCACACTGTGCCCCAATCATAGGAACTATTTGTAGCTCTCCCAACACACTCAAGCCATTTTACCTTTTGCTCCTTGCACGTGGTATCCTCACTTTCTAAAACTGCTCATCCCCTCAAGTGCCTAATTAACTTACATTTATGATTCAGACTCCGGTTAGACACCTGCTCCTTCAGGAAGTTATTCCAGTCATGCCCACCTGGGATTAGTGTCCTCTCTGCACACCTATAGCGCTCTGCTTATATTATATAACATGTTTTCCGATGTCTATTTTCTTTCATAAGACTGTTAGCAGAGGCCAAGAAATTCTTATCTTCATTGCCTAAAAAACTGCCTGACCCATAATATCTCACACATTAAGGCTCCTATAAAGCATTCAATAGGGTTTGTTTCTGCTTTTTGCTTTTTTACTGTGCTGAAATGTTAAATATTGGCACATTAACTCTAGGAAATGCTTTTTAAATTTTTGCATGATTCAAACAACTAGCATATCATTCAGGATAAGTGAGGTTCTTCTGCAGTTACAATCTTTAATCTCAGAGGTCATATGGCCTCAACTCATCACATGGGCCCCAAGCAGGGCAAGCCTACCATGTACACAGAATCATGGAACACCTGGGATATCTGAGGACTGGCAGGATTTTAAATATGAAGACTTTTTGTTTTTCCTCATTTAGAACATCACATTTATGAGTAAAAGCATAGAGCTTAGCATCAGTTTGATTTTTAAAAAGCAACTTCTTGATCACTAGGAATTTATTTCATTCATCTTCTCCTTCTACCATCAGCACCTGAAGTTTTGGTTCTCTCAGCCTCTCAGTCCTGATAATTTCTCTGAGCACCACACACCTAAGGGAATCCTTCTTTCCTTCCTTCCTTCCTCTCCCTACTCCTCTTACCCTGACCACCATCTCCCTATGGCTAGATTATAGCACTAGCCTGCAGGATATCTCATCTCTCCTCCTTCAAGCTGTCCTTACACATTGCAGCTAGAATAATCCTACTAAAACACTCCTTTGTGTTTCATCAGAGCTTACAGAATAAAATATTAAACCTATAGCTTATCACCCAAGGCCTGTTATAATTTGTTCCTGACCTCCACTGTGACCTCATTTCTTCATTATCTTCCACAAAAGCCTTTGGCTTATGCAAAGGGGCCCTCCTTGAGCCTTCTCTTTCTTATCTGCCTGTTATAATAATGATAGTCCTTATCTCCTAGGGTTGTCGGGAAGATGGAACGAAACAATATGAGAAAGGCTTCGAGCGCACTGCCCTGACATACAATCGGCTCATGATATTGTGGCACATGGTTACAAATATGTTTTATATCTTTCTAACACTCTCATTAGCAATCTCTCATTAATTATCAGCACCAATGTAGCATGCCAGTGCCATCCTTCATTCTTTAGGATTCCCTGAGAATAAAGAGTATTCTAACAAACACACATATGCTAGTCATTCATATTGAAAAACTAGATACTTATAATTCAGTTCTTTGCAATAAATAATCCTGGTTTGTATCATGCAGATGATGGCATGCACTTAACATAGTCCTTGGTCTTGCTGAGTTTCACTGTGACTTCCAACAGTTAAACAGCCAGTCAAAGGTGTTATTATATTTTGAAGACGGAAGAATTTGCTTTTTTTAGTGGCCAGGGTGTGTTAATAATCTGCTGTGCTTTGTAGTAGTAAAGGTGGTCAAAAATTGTTATATTAGCCACTAGGGCACTTGTTGAGCACTGGGATGATAGGGTCCCTTATAAATGTACCGTTCTTTAAATTGCCTAAAATAGGGCTATACAGATGATGCCATACTGAAGCAAGAGCCCTAGACAAGGAGTCTGAAAATCTGTCCTCTGAGATCTATTAAGAACGAATGGTATGATCCGTTAATATCAGTTTCTCAGTAGAATGTGAGTAATATCTGCTTTCTTAGACGATTCTTGTAAATAACAAATTACACTTATCAACATGTTTTGTTCAATTGATAGTTTGATTTCTTCATGCAATTTACATATATAAAACATAATGTAATATGCAAAGCATGTAAGAAAGACTTTCATTACGTGTGTGGTATTTGTTGAAACATTCTTCTTTAAGACCAAACTGGGTTCCTTTCTAAGAGGTAACTATTGCACATATTCAGAGTCAACTACAAGGACTAAAAACTCTGTTTGCTATTTTTTCTTATTACTTTTGGTGCTGATATTCTTGAAGAGAAGGAAGACAGAGAGAAGAAAGAGGTTTTATATAAAAGAAGGAAACGAAAAATAATGACTGGTGAATGAAAGCAAAAATTAATTTTTCTCAACACTGAAAACAGGGTTGTTACTTTTCTTTTCTTTTCAAATTTTTATTTAAATTCTAGTTAGTTAACATACAGTGCAATATTGGTTTTGGGAGAATTCAGTGATTCATCACTTACATATAACACTCAGTGCTCATCACAACAAGTGCCCTGCTTAATGCCCATCTCCATCTAGCCCATCCCCCCTACCTTCCTCCATCAACCCTGTTTGTGCTCTCTCTTTTTTAAAGATTTATTTTTTTGAGAGAGAGAGAGAGAGCACATGAGAGGGAGAGGCAGAGGGAGAGAGAGAATCTTAAGCAGACTCCCCGCTGAGCGCGGATCCCAACATGGGGCTCGATCTCATGACCCTGAGATCATGACCTGAGCCAAAATCAAGAGTCAGATGCTTAACAGCTGCGCCACCCCGGTGCCCCAAGTATGTTCTCTATCATTAAGAGTCTCTTATGGTTTGTTTCTCTCTTTTTTTCTTTTTTCTTGTCCTTTTTCTCCCCCCTCCCATATGTTCATCTTAAAACAGCGTTGTTAGATTAAAAACCAGGTTTATTTGGGCTACTGTCTGTATTAGCAGAACAAATCTGGTCTGCTACACTTTGGAGAGACGTCACTAGTTAGTATTGGCTACTTCTGCCAAAATAACAGTGACAAAAACAATAGCAGTAAAATCAGAGTATCACTCATCTTCCAGATTGGAGAAAAAACTGACCCAGAATTTAAGAGACTAGCCCTAAATCTCACAACTGAGCCAAAATATGAAACAAGTTCTACCTGGCTCCAGACTGTTTCTTTCATGGCACCACCGACCCAGCTGGTTGTGAGAATAACAGTGACTTCAATCAGGAAGGCGAAGACAACCTTAGAGACTGTACTACAAGATGCAGCATTTAAAAAAAATTTTGATTATTGCATGAAATGCATGATGGCCTTAAGTGTGTGTTGTTATTAATCACTCAATCGCCACTAAGGTGTTAAGTGAAGAGTAATGCCCAAACCTAGTAGAAGGCATGGCCAAATTTTGCAAACAGAACCCAAAACTGTATTTTGATTAACAAAGATATTGCAAGGTGTTGAAAAGACGACCTTTAATTGGAATATAGTGAGTATCTCAAGGACATGAATGACACTGATGTTTTTAGTCTCTCCCCACTGTGGAAAAAGGCATTCTGATTAAAATTATTGCTATCTATGGTTTTAATGATTAAGTTTTGGCTAGTGCCTTAAAAGAGGCTATAGCTCTCAGCTCTTACTTAGACCAGCATGCTACATATGGCCTTAAACTTTGACCTTGCACATTACCCTGAGGAAAGGGACTGGAGAGTACATCATATTAAAATGGAAAATCTTTCTGAAGTCCCCCACCCTTAAGCAGCTGCCTCTGAAGTCTCTAAAAATGTACTCTGACTGCCCTCTCCTGGTTGCATGGAAGAACAGCTAAAAGAAAAGTGAACATTGGTTTTAGCAATGCATGCTCTTTGGCTAATCTGAATTTAATAGAAATGGAAATTGCCAAGCAATCAAAAGTGAAAGACAATGGGACAGAAAGAGAATTCTCACTTGTGACCCTGCAGTGCAAATATAAACCCAGACTAAACAAATTCCATAAAGAAAGCATCCCAGTGTTGGAATGAAGTCTTGCTTTAGAGTCATCTGATCAGTAGGGTTGCCCCACAGCTACCCACTGTGTGATCGGAATTCATTTGAGTTCTGGATAGGTTTGTCTCAGAACCCATAAACCATAAGGTAGGACTCAACAGAGCCTGGGAACACCAATGTTAAATTTGTTTTCATCTACTGATACACTCACTGCCTGGTATCATTTGTAGTACCCCACTGGCAGATATAAAGGCTGATACCAGGCTGAAGTGCAAAAACAGAGGTAGCTGACAATCCATGGAAAATGTTCTGTGTTTCACTGTAAAATACTCCAGTATTTCTTCAGCGTTTGTTGACCAAATTCATGGCTATGATAAAAACTAAAATGTGTATCTCCTTGTACTTGGTTCAGAATTATAATCTTTAAAAATGTTTTGGATACCAGTACTTACTGAGCTCTTGGACCACATTGCTTAGGTTTGAAATGTGACTCTACTCCTAGTTGCGTGACCTTACACAAGTCCTCAAATTTCAGTGTCCTGAGTTTCTGTATGTGGGAAAATGGTGATAATTAGTGTCTTGGGTTATCGGGGAGATTAAATGTGAAACATCTAATATTCTTAGGTCAGTGACTAGCACATAATAAATGTTCAATAAATGTTAGCTGCTAGTGCTATTCTACATCAAGAAGGAGTTCAATGATGGATTTCCTTTAAAAGACAGAACTGTGGGTAGGCAAGATATTTACAGACATTGGCTCATCAAAAGAAGTAAGAATGATGGAACCATGATGCAACAGAATCCAGAAGGTGATACTTAACCACCCAAATCCAGGGGGTTGCAAATTTTGGAAGAGAGCATCACAGAGCCTTGACCCATTGGAATTTATGCAGGTGATTACTAGAACATGGCTTCTCTAGGGGCAGGAACAAGGTGGGCAACCAGTGAGAGTACTGCTTATCATAGTCAAAAGAAGGAAAGAATGCATGAGCCTAGAACTGTTAGCAATTGTTCACTTTTTCTTGCTCAGTTCGCAACCTGAACCCATTTCAAACCTGGAATGTATTGACTGAAGAGACGGCTACTTCCCATGAGGAAGGACCTCATAACATCAAGGCAGATATGTACTACTGATCCTTCTCCAAGTGATTAATATTGAGTAAAGGGGAATGACAAGATATTTTGAGGGCCTTTGGACACAGGGACTGAGTTGAGATGGATGTTTGGATATTCAAGCATGATTATCATACCTGTTCGAGTAGGGACATATGAGGAGAATATATTCCTGGCCAAGATCCAGCTTACAAAGAACCTCCTATGTGTGTGAACCAACTGGTGATGATCTCCCTGGTCCCCAAATGTATAACTGGATTTACCATAGTTGGCAATCAAAATAAACCTCATATTGGATCCCTGGTCTATAGACTAAGAGCTATCATAGAAGGGGAGGTCAAGTGGAAGTTTCTGAAATGGCACAGCCCCTCAGCCAATATACTAAATTTAAAAAATATATATTGCATTCTAGGGGAAGGGAGATGACAGGGATTAGTGTCATCATTAGGATCTTAAGGATGCAGGGGAGAGGGTCCCTAACATATCTCTATTTAATTCAAAAGTTTGGCCTCTTCAGAAAAAAGAAACATCTTTGAGAATGACCATAGAGTATCACAAGCCCAACCAAGCAGTGGTCCTGATTGTGGCTGTCACGCCAAACAAGGTGTCAGGCACTTGGTATGGTGAAGGAGTTTGTTCCATCTTTTTTTTTTTTATGATTTATTTATTTGAGAGAGAGCAAGAGTGGGAGGGTCAGAGGGAGACGGAGAGAGACTCTCAAGCAGACTGTGCTGAGCGTGGAGCCTGATGCAGGGCTCATCTCAGGACTCCAAGATCATGACTTCAGCCAAAACCAAGAGTCAGATGCTTAACCGACTGCACCACCCAGGTGTCCCAGGAGTTTGTTCCATCTTAATCAAAAGAGAGGATCAGAAACAGTTGGCTTTCATGTGGATTAGATAGTAATACACATTACAGATTTGTCCCAGAACTAGGATAGCTCTTCTGCTGTGATCTGCAGAGATCTGGACAATCTTGACAGAACCACAGCACATGATACTGATCCATGACATTAATGACATCAGGATGAGCACAAGAGCTAGCTGAAGACCTTGGTAAGATCTGCACTCCAGAGGGCATGAGAAAAACCCTGCAAAGATTCAGGGAACTGCCTTTTCTTGTAAAACTTGTAGGCCTGTAGTTGTCAGCAGCATGCCGGGGCATGCTCTCTGAAGAAGCCAAAATCCTGTATCTTGCTTTCTTAACCACAAAGATGGAAGTGCCATGGTTGGTAGGTTTCTCTGGGTTTTCTGAAGGTGATACATTCCATGTGTAGGAATATTGTTCTGGCCCATATTCTGGTTGACATAAAAAGAAAACTTCTTTGAGTGAGGCCCAGAGTAGGAAAGAGCTCTGCTGTAGACCCAGATTCTGGCATAGCATCTGTTCTTAGTCATCTCAGACTGCCATTACAAAATACCAGACCAGGTGGCTTAAATAACAGAGATTTAGTTTTTTATGGTTCTGGTGAGGGCTCTCTCCCTGGCTTGCAGAAAGCCCACCTTCTTGCTATGTCCTCACAGTGGGAAGGGAGGAGAATCTCCCCAATGCCTCCTCCCTCTAGCCTTTGACAACCATTGAGTGCATTTTCTGCCTCTAGATTTATTCTGTGTATTTCATATAAATGGAGTCATACATGACCTTTTGTGTCTGTCTTCTTTCACTTAGCACATTTTCTAGTTTCATGGGCAATCTTGGTGCAGGAGCTCCCTGATAAGTTGGCTGAGACTTTTTCATAACTAGAGCAGTCTGAAACTCTTCCTACCTAATCTTATTTGTCCTTCTTCTCTTTATCTTTCATAGGCATTACCTCCAATCAACTGCTTGAATTTTTAACTCCAACGTGGGTTCTTCTTCCCAAAGGACCTACTGTCACAGGTTTGCAAATATGATCAGCATTGTAGATGAGTATATAGGCTTAAATAAAGCAACTCACTTCAAGTCATACAGCTCTTAATGGACTATTTTTTCCTACTTAAATGTTTATTTAGTTTCATGCTGAATAATATCCACGAAATCATGCCTTTGATGTGCAATTCTTTCCTAATGCACACCGAAAGTATAACTATTAAAAAACTATCTGAGGCAACCCTTACTCATCTCACATTGGGAAAGAGCAAAATATCATAGGCATTTGCTGAGAATATATTCGTTCCATAAAAATTCATTTGACCAAGAGTTAAGTTTTGAGATATAGGCAACTTTCTACTCAAAAGAAATGGGTAAGTAGCTATCATCTCATCAGGAAACCAAAGCAAAAGTATAGATAAAAGACCATGTCTATGGCTGCCAGACCCTATATGAGATGCTTTCCCTTATTATTTTATTCAACAGTTTCCATCAAACCAGTAGAAGACATAAATCCAGGTAGCTGACCTCCAGATCAATGATCCATTCATTCCTGTGGCCTCCAAAATGAGTGTATGTGCCTTAAGAAATACTCAGGGTAATTTATTACAGTGTGATAAGAGAAAATATTTTAACTATATTTTATGATTTAAAGTTAAAGTGCTTTACTAATAGTTAAAATAGGTTGACACTAGTTCATATATTTCATACACATAAATAAGGCATACATGTTCAGAAGAGACGACTGTTAAACTGTTTAAAAGTAACAAATTTTTAGTCAACCACTGTTAAATGTTTTATATACTTTCGTATATAAATGAGTTTATTCACATTCCAAAAATTCTGCACACAAAAGTTTTAGAGTATTCAGGAAGATGGCATATTTAATAATCAATAACATGCATAATTTCATGAAAAGGCAATGTGGCCCAGTATACTGATGCATCAGAACTTCATACTTCGGCTAAACTGTACATTCACTCAGGACATCGGGCATACTTAGAATGATACATGAAACTGCAGGTAGGAAGTCAACAATATCCTTCATCTAGAATACCTCTCACGCATATCCAAGGATAACGCTTGGAGTCGACAGACATGAAAAATCAAAATGCCACACGATATATACAGATACCTCTACCTCTTGTTACACTTAGAACAGTGACTATCATAATTTTTAGCAAAAACCACCAGCCAGAGCCCTCCATTCCCATCATAATTATAGAAAAATGACAGCCTTTGACCATTAGTTCTTAGTTCTGGTGATGCTTTGAGGACTAAATCAGTTGAGTCTACGGTGACATCTTTCGTCATGGAAAAAGTAGGAATACAGATCTAATGAGTTTACACGGGTTGCCTAATTTTTATATGCCTAGCTCCTCTGCTATACAAGACTGATCACATAACATTTCTATAACACACATATATTTAGTTACTAGAGGACCTGTAAGGTAGAATTCACTCTAAATATATCCAGAGCTAGGTGAAAAATGCCTAGCCATTTTATACTAAAAATTTTCAAGTGCTAACAAGATCGATTTTTATAGAGTATATCGACTGGAACACAAAATTAGGTATTGCTATAACATTCATTCATTTGCTAATTCAATATCTAATTACTGAGTACATGCTATTTGCTATGCTCTCTTCTAGGCACTGGGGATGGAGCTGTAAAGAGTAGATGGCTCCTGTCCATAAGCCTTACATCCTAGCAGAGAAGAGGACTAACGCAGGAATAAAATATATGCTCTTCATGCTATATTTAAAATACATGTCTTAAGTGCCTAGGAGAAATGCAAGAAAGGAGAAGGAGGAGTGCTGGTGTGAGATTCAAGGTGACAACTGAGCAAAGACCCAAAGAGGGTGAGGGAGCAGGCCACGCAAATCCTTGAGAGAAGGTGGCTCCAGACAGAGCAACTAGTATTGACCTACTGCCCACCGCACAGCTTAGGGCTCGCTCTAAAAGCGAGATGAACTTTCAAAGCATTAACAAAAATCCATGTACATTCTAAAGATAATCGTCTCCCCTTCAACTCTGGGCCCCCTCCCACGTGAATACATTATGTTGCCCCGAGGCACTGGCTCACTTCATAACAAACTTGAATCTTCGTGACGCTGACGTAGAATTCCAGATTCCGGCACGTGTAGAGGTGGAAACTGAGAGTTTACGTATCAAGATCGAATTGTGTATCTCAGACTAGAGAACGCTTCTGATGTCAGCTCAAGGGCTGATCAGGAAGCCAGGCTAATTCAGGAAAGAGCTGATTTGATGTAAGGCAACGCAGGAGACTGAAGGCCCACACCCCAGGCCAGAATTACTGGGCCAGAGAAAGAGGCAGCCAAGCTCTCTGGGGGCCTTGGCGGACCAAAGCTGCCTAACTTTTCCCCTGTAATGGAGGTCTGGCCTAATGTCTTATAGCTAAACTCATGAGTCCTTGGCTCTGACAAAAAAGTTCTAAAAGATGGCATCTACCACAAACAATTATATTAAACATTCGGCTAAAAATTTTGTTTTGGGGGGAGAAGGGTCACATTTTTCTATATATATAAAAGATATAAAAGCTTGAAGAACTGAGAGATGTCCAGCCATTAGGTGTCTGGACTTTGGAGCCAGACCACTGGGGTTTAAAGCCTCTTGCTAGACATATGACCCTGGGTGTCACTTAAGGTCTGTGTGTAGTTCCCTCATCTGTTTTTTTTTTTTTTAAGTAGGCTGCACGCCCAGCATGAAGCCCAACACAGGGCTCGAACCCACGACCCCGAGATCAAGACCAGAGAGTCGGACGCTTAACCAACTGAGCCACCCTGGTGCCCCTAGCTCCCTCATCTTTAAGAGGAGATGATATTGTCTACCCCACGGAATTGTCATGAGGAGGATTAAATGAGCTAATATCTGAAAAAACGCTGAGAACACTGCCTGGCACATATTAAGCCCTATATAAATGCTTTTAAATAAAGTAGGGTATAATTGAAACTTCCTTTAAAATATTACTTCCAAAGACTTACCTCTTTGACCTTCATCAAAGAAAAAAGGCTCACTGACATTTCCTGAGAAACTTTTCATAGAAATGTTTAAAGCAGAACTTTTATATATTGTGAGTCTAGAAATTCCAAATCTGTCAAGTTTATATCAAACCTTTAACTGAATTTCAAAGTGAATTGTATAAAAAATAGATGACCAAAAAAGATTATCAAATGAATACTTTATTAGAGTCATAACACTTATAAAATAAATTTCTTTTCATCATGGAGTTACCAGATTTTAAAACCAACACTTTCTCATTTCTACAGCATATATAAAGAAATTCTCAAATGCTGTAATTTTTGTTCAAGTGCTTTGTCACTCAATTCACAAACCCAGAGCACAATTAATCTACAAATATTAAGTATTCACAGTCAGATGAGTTTTAGGCTTGGTTCTTAATGATCTAGAGGCAATCCATTTATAAAAGTGCCACTAAAGCCATTTCATGAAATCATTTAATTTAATGCCACCAAGCACAGACCTGTTATACTTTGGAAACAAAAATAAAATCTCACAACTAAATCTAGCAGACTAGATTCCAACTTGAATGAACTATACCAACTTGATTCCAACTTGAATGAACTATATATCCTTATGGCACATTTATGACTTTGTAATATACAATTCATAATACAGGTTTAAGTGTGTGGTATGAAGCTAGAAAAACCAAGGAAGTCAGATATTATAGAAAAGACAGGACGTGAGTATAAAGTCTTAGACTGATTTCTTCTTGCCATATATTGAAACACGTCTTTATATCACAAACCAAACTCTGATAAGATTCTTCTTTCTAGGTGATTATTATATAAATAGCATCTGATCACTGAGCATTGATCATGTGACTCATTCGGGATTGTTCTACGTTCTATGACATCTAATAGCACAACTTAGACAGGGCACTCTTAGGGGATGACTCAGCCAATGAAAGCAAAGGGCTGAAGGTTTTGGATGGTCAAAGCCCTCTTTTCCCAGAGGAAGCCCGCCTGAGGCAGGAGATAAGTATCCTGTTTGGACATTGTAGTGGGAGCTGGAACCTAACTCTCACTTGTTCTCCCATTCAAGCCATTTTTTGGCACCTTTCCACAACCAGGGTCTCTAGCCAGATGCGTTAAAATATTTTTTGTGCAATTCAGCCAGAGACAAGTTTGTAGGATGGGCTGTTGTTACCAATGCGAAACAATGGCGCTATTGTTAAAACATGTAAGAAGCTTCAACTCTAAGTTATATCTAATACTCTATTCAAAGTTAACTGAGAAAGTAACGTGAAATGATTAGAAGTAAAAAGTTAACTCTTCAGGGAAGCTCTAGTTGGCAAAGCCTCATATATCCACACACAAATATTCATATGTTCATGCACAGGACAAACAGCTGTATTCTGAAGCATAAATAAATCCAAAGTAAGACATAAGTAGCTAGATACCAGTTCCAGTAGTGGTGAATGGTCTCTGGGGATTTCATTTTAAGGATGCCGGATGAGAGGTTTGCTCAGTTGGTAAGAGACCCTTAGTTTGATTAAGCAACTAAGATTTACTTCATAAATTACTTTTTCCTGTACCCAACACTCTGCTTGAATTAGCCTGAAAAACTATCCACCACTTCAGGGGTAAGTACTTGACCATCAACACAAAGGCAACGTGATTATTGCATAATGAGGCTAAATATTATATGACTTCTCTCGTTTTATACCCTTCAGGATCAGTTCAATAAAACACGTAAAATATAACTAAGGTGTTACACCAGAGGTCGGCAAACTATAACCTACAGCCCACAGGCCAAATCCAGCCTGCTTCCTGTCTTCCTGAATAAAGTTTTATTGGGACACAGGCTCACTCGTTCATTTGCGTATTGCCTATGGCTGCTTTCACAAAGTAACAGCAGGGTTGAACTGTTGCAACAGAGACCGTATGGCCCACAAAGCCTAAAATATTTACCATCTGGACCTTTATAGAAAAAGGGTGCCAATCTCTGTTTTACATTAAAACAGTTCAGGGGGGAAGGCTATTTAAAACATAGTTTGTTTTTGCTTTTCATTTTTTGTTTTTTACGGAAATTTCAGTTACCTATTAAAATTAAGGTTTAAGTGACTCAGCAATTAAACAAAAGAGATACCCCTTTTTCATGAGCAATATCTGTATACTTTATGGATATAAAGGAAAATTTTCTTTAAAAAAGAGACAGATGTAAAATTAAAGGCCATTTCTCTATTTAACATCATAATAAAATTAAAATTCCATCTATGAAATGAACCAAAACTTGTACTTAAATTCTCTCCATATACTCAACAAGTTTCTTTTGGAATGTTGTTCTATCTGGACAAAATGGTATCCAAGTTGATCAGACACATAAAGTTGACAAATGAAACCAACACAGACCGTTAGTTTCTAAGGAGTGTTACGGTCGCCATCTTCGTAAAGCCAGACCCAAACTGCAACCATAACAAGCTGTTGTCACAAAGGCAAAAATCTAAGAAAAAGGAAACAAAAGCTCATCAGATTTACAACACTGACTTTAAGAAAACACTCATTCTAAGGACCAACTATCTGAGCACTGATCAACCTACCTAAAGATACTTCAACACTTATGAAAATGGTTTATAGTCCTCTTTTTGATGATGTGTACTCCTGTTTTACCCCCTCATATCATTAGCCCTTCTTTTAAACATTCTGGCCCCTCATAATATTCTCATTTGTGGATAGCCTTAGGTTGAACATTTGTTCACATGCTGGACTCACTTGTTAAACATTTATGAAACCCCCAACACGATATTCAAAAATTCATTACGAGGTGTCTATTCTTACAGTGATTTCACAGCCAAGAAAAGTGCAAGTATCAGAACTTGAGGATGTATCAAATCCTTCCTGTGACAGTGGAAAGCGACTTTAGAAGTAAACAAAGTAAAGCCGCAGAAATGAATCAACAGATTGGCATGGGAGATAGTTCTGAAACCTGCACTCAACTCTGAATTACCGTCCTTACTATTTGACAAGGATTTCTTTAGCACCAACTATGTGTCCATCAGTACATTTGGTGCATATAAACAAATAGTAGATAGTGTCCTCACCCTTTGGGAATTCATGATCCATAGAAAACTATAAGACAAAGCAATTAAGTATGGTAAAACATTATGATTTAGTGCAGGGATCCTTTACCAGAAAACTCTAGCTCTGAGAAGGAATATCGGATTCACCTATAGACCATGACCATTCTCTAACTGCCAGTCTGCTATTCATTCTCCTCAGCCTTCTTCTGCTGGTTGTCTCTTTGATACATCTCTAATCTAGACATTGTCTGCTGAATGAGAATGACCACTTCTGATATCTATTATTAGTGAAAATGAATTTTCCTCTCTCAGGTATACTAAAATAAAAAGTAAAGTAAGGGACTCAATGTAATGTCACAAAAGAATGGCTCATATATTTAGGTATTATTAAAACTCAGAAATTAAAGATTCACTTCTGCGGGAGTGTATGGATGAGATGGTACATAATGTAGAACTGAAAGCATGTTGAGGTTTCCCAAGGCAGTTTCACTTAGGCAGAGAGAAAGGGAAGGATAACAGGGACAAAGTCATAGAAAAGGGTCAGCCAGAACAGAACCATATCACGGAGAACACTGAAAACTGGGCTCTCGGGACAAAGGAACGTTAGTGAGAAATTAATGACATCCACCATCCACTAAGTACTTTAGCACCTACTACTCTTCTGAAAGTGGGATCTTAGGGCAACTATAAATAGGCCAATTTGGTGCTACTTCAAGGATCTGAGAGGTAATGAGAATATAGCCTGCACCACTAAAAAGGAGGGCATTCAAGTAGTAAAGGAAAATCCAACGAGAATTGAGGACTCATAGGAAGGACACTTGGTAGGAAAAAAGTCAATTCCAAGTCCCTGAACTTTTCTTCGCTTCATAAAATTGTTAAAACCAGTGGTTTTCTAACTGTGGTCTCTGGATACTAAGGATCCCATAGCAGTGCCTCAGAGATGAGGTGGACAGAGGTGGCTTCAGGAGAAGGATGGACGGGCATCATTCAAGACCCCTTTCTCCCACTCCAACTAGAGCATACGTGCTCTTGCTGTCTGTATTTATTGGGTTTTCAGTAAGACTTCATTAAGTAAAACAGTTTTACTTCCTATAAAAGAAAGTATAAAAATCACTGATCTAAACTCTAAGCCTGTAGAAGCTGGAACCAGCTTCCTTTCTGTTGCAATCCACATATAGTCTAATTCATTGTAGACACTCAATGAATTCTGACAAATCCTAACAGAGGCTTGGGAACCTGATGATAGTAGGTCTTAAAATCATCGCACCTCCACCCTTCAAAACCCAGACTCTAGACCTGTGCTGTCCAATATGAGAGCCACCAGCCGCATGTGGCTAATTAAATTTAAATGTAAATTAATTAAAATGAATGAATTAATGGATTAATTAGTAGCCACCATATTGAATCATGCATATATGGGATATTTCTATCATTTTAGAAAGTGCTGGTGGACAACACTGCTCCAGAAAGATTTTAATGGCTATATGGGGGAGTCCTGGGCTGTTTATATATACTATCTACATAAAATAGTAAAACATTAGGGTCACTAACTTGCTATATAGCCATATTAAATATCAACACATTTTAGGGAATGATTTGGATTTCTAACACTTTCAAAATTGTAAAAACAGAAATAGTGTAGTATTTCTTCAAATTACCTATGTCAGTAAAAAACAACAAACTCACTCAAGTATATGAATTAAGGAAGACTAAAAAATTCCCTAAAAATGTCCCCATGGAATGCATTTCATCTGTAAGTCATCTATTGTCATGGCGGGAATATTTACCCCCCTTACCCCCCTGGACTCTCCTCAGGGGCAGGAGCTGTACGTGGTTCATCCCTGTCCCCAACACCCCACCAGTTTCCGCCCTCATGGTAGGTTCTCTAAGTACTCACTGAATTAAAATGAATTACAAGTAGGTACGGACCAGTGAAGAACAAATCTCCCTTACCATGTCTGCAGTTAGAGGAAGCAAAAAGCACAATGAATTCTTTCTACAAAATAGGCTTTGATGTGCCAGGCCAGCCGCAACCACGGGCTGGCTGTCCTTGGTGTCCGTGCTTCAGCGTTGGGGTCCACAACACCAGGGGGAAGGGCGGAACTTTGCCCAGGTCTACGTGTAATGCTAACGGCTACTGTTAGAGAAAGCGATGGCTGCCCAAGGAGTTTCTGGGAGACCGCGACAATGGGGGAGGGGGGCTGGTCACCCGGACTCATGGACACTCACTGTGGCTGCTACATTTATGTTATACTGGTTATCACTCAAGAGCGGTGACACAGTCATGGTCATATTGCAGCGCAGATCATGCAGGGATGTGGTTGCCGCTTCCAGGAGAAAGGCTCCGAAGTAGAAGACAAACACTATAAAATGGTACACAAAATCCTGAAAGAGGAAGAAAAAAAAGAAAAAGACCTACAATTAAAAGTAATACTTTTATTTTCTGTTCCTTATTTCAACTCATGAGGTCTAGGTTCAGGAAGGTTAGAACACTTAATCAAACAATCTTTAACCATCTTCACCATTTACCCTGGCTGCCTGAACAATGTCAAGCTATTAGAATCCAAGTGAAAACCAACCGAACTGCTGTAATCGGCATAGTGGCAAAACTAATGTCCTGAATTTTATAATAAAATATATAATTTCATACACCTTATTATAGTTATTGGATAAAAATCATATTATTGTAGTATATTATATAGCTATATAATAATATACATACACACCTTTTATACTTCTTTTATTTCTGAGCAATTATTATTTCCATCCGTTAGACTGTCATCCCATACACTGAAGAATGCAGAAGACCTACAACATCTAAGAATTCAATACCATATCTCCTGATATTCTAAAAAAGCAAATTATGTATCATATACTTCAACAAAAAGTATAGGACCTCTCAAACAAAACTTAGTTGTCATAAGGTGATTTCATACGTTGCTGGGATTCTGAAGCATTAACTCTACTGGAATTCACACTGTCTTACACGAACTGATATCCATCAACACACTGTTGTGTATTTTTGTCAACAGCTCCCAGATACCTGGTACTTTACATTCATTGTCATTCATCCTTACAACCACTATTTATTGTACCCATTTTATAAACAAGGATTTTTTTAAAAATTAAATGACTGTTCTAAAGCCATACAAACATAACCTTTTGAAAGGAGAACTCAAACCCATATAGGGCTGTCTGGTTCCAAAGTCCGCTTTCTTTCTTCTATCAAACTGTTATTGATACAGCAACATTACAGAGAAAGAACAGTGCGCTGCCTTTGTAAAGGCCCATTCAGCAAACAAAACTGATGGTGAGAATTGTTCTTACTCTGCCTAGAATAATAAGGAAAAGTTAACTCACCAGGAGTGGGGATTACAAAGGTACACACTAAAAATGTGTTCTACTTAACACCTCTAACGTAGAAGCTGACTCACCAATGCCTTCAAAATATTGAAGAACTGTGTTATACACTGATCGTGTGTCTAATCGATAGCAGAAATGCTCAAACCCATGTTGCTATGCAACAGATGTTAACTGATGAAGCTCAAAGCCCAAACATCCCTACTTTTAGGGATTAAAAGGAATAGAGCTAGATCTCAATTAGTAATTAAGATTGAGAGAAAAATATGTTTGAGATCATAGGCGCTCACCTAACTTACTGAGGCAGACCCTCGGAAGTGGCTCATGTGACGTTAGAAGGGGCGGGAAAAATCTGGTGACATAGCCGCAACTCTTGGTAAGACGAGGCTCTCACGCTCTTCACCAGCCTCAGCTCATGCCACCCTTCCATCTCTCTGAGCATCAGCCACTGTGACCTCGTTTTGGTGCTAGGACGTACTCTGTTTCAAGGCCGATGCTCTTTACTCGCAGTATTGTGTGGCTGAAAAAGACTCTTCCCACCACCAATTACTGCCTGCACCTCCCCCCACCCACCATCAACTTTCCAGTCCTGCTGCTTTTGACTTCTTCCTCCTTTTCAGTAGTAATCAGAACTGATGTGCGGTTAAGGCTTCCCTGTCCAATCCTTTTCCTTCATCTTTTATGGGTGTTGTCATCCAATAAACGTCTTCTATTCCTAACTCTGTCTGACTTGGGCGAGGCTATCCAGCCATCCCTACCATCCTAGGGTCATATGTATCCTAAGGTGTTGGAGGAAAAGAACTGAATTCATGGCCACCCTGGCGAGCAAATCACTATGCAGGCTCTTGGACTTTAGAGTCAGGCAGGTAACCTGCAGTGGGGAGTTACACGTCTTTGTAAAGCAGCTCCTCATGTTCTACTGGGCCCTTGCACATCCGTAATCACGTTCTGCACACAGTCCCTTTTAAAAAAGAACCTGACATTCAGCTGTGAGGAGTCTAGTTAGCGGACAGCTTTGGCTTCGGTGGATTGGGGATCTGCCAAGGCCACATTGCTCCTGGCAGTCCCCAGCTAATGAAGGTACAGTGGGGATACTGGTGCCTGGACACTTTTGCCTAAAACAAGACTCTTAAGGCAAAGACTGTGCTCCTGAGCTTCTCATTAATTTAGGCAAGACCGTCGATCTGCATCCCACTCTAGGACTTTTCTGTTTTACCCCATTTCCTTCCCCATCACCTTTTACAGGTGTTATCTCTCCCCCTCCCCCTCAAAAAAAGTCTCTTGCACTTTTTTTTTTTTTTTCCCTAGAGACAGCATGAGCAGGGGGGAGGGACAGAGGGAGAGGGGGAAAGAGAGAATCTTAAGCAGGCTCCAAGCTTAGCATGGAGCCCGACATGGGGCTCGATCTCATGACCCTGAGATCCTGACCTGAGCTGAAATCAAGAGTCAGATGCTTAACCACCCCAGCCACCCAGGCACCCCAGAATCTCTCGTACTTTTTTTTTTTTAAAGATTTTATTTATTTATTTGAGAGAGAGAGAATGAGAGACAGAGAGCACGAGAGGGAAGAGGGCAGAGGGAGAAGCAAACCCCCTGCTGAGCAGGGAGTCCGATGCGGGACTCGATCCCGGGACTCTAGGATCATGACCTGAGCCGAAGGCAGTCGCTTAACCAACTGAGCCACCCAGGCGCCCCTCTTGTACTTTTAAATTCATCTTATAGTCTGCTTCCCAGTGGACCTGAGATGATAGACATGCTCTTCTAGTATCCTGAACACTCCCTGCTTGGCCATTAACATCATTTTGACTAATGTGTCAATTGTATAATTATTTTTTTTAAAGATTTTATTTATTTGAGAGAGAAAACATGAGCAGAGGGGAGCGGCAGAAGGAGAGGGAGCAGACTCCCTGGCTGAGCAGGGAGCCGACGTGGGGCTCCATCCCAGGACCCTGAGATCATGACCTGAGCTGACGGCAGACGCTTAACCGAGCCACCCAGGCATCCCTGTGTAATTATTTCTCTACTGACACCATCTACTACAACAAACTCTGAGAGCCACTACAGGCCTGTCTTGTTCACCACTGTATTTCCAGGGCCTACCCCAGGGCCAGGTGCATATCAGGTGCTCCGTCAAGACTCCCCACCACAGGAGAGCCACATCCACATTTATATTTGGCCATGCTGGACATCTCATTCCGATTCCTGCTACGTGTGGAATGTGTGTAAGAAGGTCTTCCACAGATTTTTGCTCGTTGTTTTGGACAAGGCACATTGTTTATGCAAAACCAGTGGTTCTCAGAGGTAAGCATGCCTCAGAATCATCTGAAAAGCTTGTTACAAGCACAGACTGCTGCGTCTCACCTTCTGAGTTTCTGACTCAGGATGTCTGGGTGGGGCCTGAGAATCTGCCCGTCTAACAAGTTGCCAGGTGCGGCCGCTGCCACTGGCCAGGGACCACCCTTGTGAACCACCTGTCCTGAGTGCTTGGCACCTCCCCATCAGCAGATGGCCCCAGCCCCTTTCCGAGTCTCCTTTGTATACTCCTGCTCTTCCGCCAGACTTCCCGATAGTCACACCGCCCAGAGTGCGGCCCGCTTGTCTTCACTTTTTGCTCAGGTAAACAACCTTAAGCAGAGCGTGATTTTTTTTTTTCCCCCCAGCAACAAATGACTATCCCCCATATTCTTATCTTAAGCCTAGGTTTGCTCCTCAGGTCAAATTTTTACTAAATAGTTAAAAAAAAAAAAAAGCTACATTGTAAATAGGGGGATCCTGGTTTCCACAACAACAGCACGAAAGAGGGACAAAAGCCACACAGAGCTTTATCTTCCTCAACCATAAAAATGAGAACAGTAATAGTCTCCGATAAGGAACTGTCATAAAGATCAAATAAGTAAAGGAATGGTGGGACAGAAAATATAGCTCAGGACATTCACAGTATTAAGTGATGTCCATAACAGGCAAATGCATGCCACCTACTTTGGGGGAATAAAGTGAAGCATGTTTAATTGTACAGGACTTTTTTTTTTTTTGGTAGCTCTTATTTTTCTAAAATATATCTTGCCTTCATACCCCACCTCTCCAAAAATGGAAAATAAGTATGGTATCTCTTAGAGTTAGGCAAAATGGTATTTCCTCAAAAAAAAAAAAAATACAGAAAAACCATCTCAAAAATCAAAACCTGCTTCTTTCCTCAAATTAGAATAGGGCAAGTTTTTAGCATTTAATATATGTTATTATATATATTACATATTATATTTTTATTTCATCACTTACACCAAAGTTAGAAAGCTTGGGAAAAAATACTGAAGATTTCTACCACCACAAATGTTAATTCAGCCTCATGATCAACAAAAGCTAGAAGCTATGAGTATTTTAGTTAATATCGCACAACAAATACTTTTAGAAAATAAATTCTTCATCAAAACGCATTCTTGCTTCCTTCATGCACTGTATACAGGTAACATTAAACTGTTAGCACAAGGGGAAACATTTTTTGCACAGTTAACGTCTAACAATTCCAGAATGCGGCAATTAAAGATGGTTACCATCTGGTGATGACTCCACGGTATGCATGGCTCAGAAAGTTTTCTGGCTGAGATTATACACGATACATCACAAAACCCACCAAAAGCAACTCTGGTCAGAAATGACTGATGATGTGGAAAATCACAAAAGGAGAGGGAAAAAAAAAAAAAAAGGAGTCCATTCTCAATATGGCAAGCGTTTAAGTCAACTCCGTAAAGGCATGAGTTGGCTCTTGGAAAGTATGTCCACCGTGACGAGGCTGTGCTGTGTGCTGTGTGGGGCCACCACCATTTCCTCCCTCAGGACGAGTGGACCGTCCCAGCGAAAGAACCCCAGGATGAACTCTCTGCAGGAGACCTCTGCAACACACTGGTTGGTCTTTCCAATTTCAGTTGCCCCTTTCGTAAAGTGGTTTAATTAAAAAATAACAACAACAACAACACATTCTTACATTTTATTGTCTGAACAACAAATATAATGTTACAGATAAGGGGGGAACCTAACAAATTTATAAGGATATTAATGATGTACTCAATCTCAGAAATTAGACTCAATATAAACAAAAGGAAAAAAGATGGTATGAACATATGCCTAATAAAGGAGCAATGTTGGAAAAATATTTAAACATTGGTACAACATGTGCATTAACCATTAGAAGCAATGCTGGGCCATGCAGGACCCTGGAGACTCACTAGTTAGTAACCCTTTAGTGGCTGGGCTACTAGGAAGTCCAGGAAGGTCCCAGAGGAAGGGCCAAGGTGGCGGGGAGCACAGCACTTGGGAAGAGGTAGCAGGTTGGGGCAATGACTATGTATGAACTAGTCCTGAAGGCTATACCGGTACACAATGGCCAAATACCATCTCTGAGCTTAATACCTAAAGAGCCTGGTGGTGCCTACCGACATCAGGTGATGATTCATTCATTCATACATGATTGTGGGAAAGCCAGGCATTTAGAAAGAGGAGATTAAGCAATCTATCTGAAACTTATATAGAGATTTCTGATCTTCATCACTTGACCAATTATTTAGAAATATTTTCTTATCGTTAATGAGAAAGCAAGGCAAAAATGTAGGAACACACTGCATCAGCACCCTAAGAAACAGAAGGACTTCCTGTGTGTGTGTCTGTGGAAATAATTTTTTACCTTAAGTTTTTATTTAAATTCCAGTTAGTTAACATACAGTGTAATATTAGTTTCAGATGTACAATCTAGTGACTCAACAAAAGGACTTTCAAAGTTACAAACTGCAAGACGTGGCATACTTCAGGAATTATGATGATTATGGATCATATGCTGTAAATCAGACACAAAGCTGATGAGCACTTTAGAATGCATTAATTCCAGGTAGTTACTATTATTACCATTTTACAGAGGAAGAAATCGGAAGTCATAGAGGTTCAATACTTTGGCCAAGGCTACACAGTTATTAAACAAACCAGACCTAACTTCAAAGCCTGTGCAAGATTATAACCCTTGCCCCATACTTCCTCCTTAACTTTACACTAACCATCTGCCCCTGGGCTGGTTTAATGGGCAACCACATCCACTAGACTTCACTGCTGATAACATCTGGGATGACGGTTCTCCTTACACTTTGTAACTAAGACCATTTTTAAAGATGCCTAACATCCTTCCTAAAGCTGGTGAATACAATGTTACCATACCCGAAAAGAACAACATAAGCCTGACTAAAGGGCTGATTTAAGTTTCTAACCAGCAACTGATTGAAACGTAACAGAGGTTCTTCAGGAACTTCATCAAAGCACTGTCCGCCACAGACTGGAATTCAAGCTCCACTGGCCATTCCGAAATAGTCTCAGAGATCGAATAACCATAAGCATGAAAGAGGCCCCCTATATTATATGGGAAAAGGGAAAGTAAGTTGATCCAATTTAATGGCATCATAATTTTTAAGATTATGTTGATTATAAATTCCTTTCTTAAAATTATCAATTTTTACTAATTTAGGGCAGGAATTAAAAATAAACTATCCCCTTTTCTAAGTATTTAGAGAATAGAGTATATAGCTACTGGTTTTCTGAAAAGAATGTATGTATTTAATATTTGAAGCAGAAATCAACGGAAAATTTCAAGACCTATGTCACAGCATCCATCTCCCAAAGGCACCTCTTCGATAGTTCCATGACTGTAATGCAATGCATTAGTTGCATGAAATAAAAGGGTCTTTGAGTAAAGGTCATCTAATTCACAAAGGAGTAACAGAAAGATGGCTCGGCTCTACTGACAGAAATTTCACAAGCTGGGAGCCTGCTGTCCAGCAACACAGCCACATGGCAGCACAGTGGACCGGGACTCAGACCTTTCCTCTCTCCCTGGAGGCAACAGAGAGAACAGGGGCCACGCATTTCAAGACAGAGTAAGATATTTAAATGTTTCTCGCATTTTCCTGAAATAGATCTAAAAATCCCTTACCAGGAAGTTCCAGTTGGCATCAATCTGAGTCACCATGCCAGAGAGGAACACGCCCAGGAAGAGGAGGGAAAAGATAAAAGCCGTCACAGACACGAACATGACCCATCCTTGTAGCAGAGGTAGAGGAACGTTGGAGGAGGCGACCAAAATCCAGACGAGTCCCCCGAACAGCTGCAGGAAGGAAGAAAGATGTCAAGGTTGTGGGCAACAGCAGTGAACATGCTCGCACCCCTGCCTCTTACCCTTGGTTTCTCCCCAGCCCCCTGCACACATTCCCGCCACCCCGCCCACTGCCTTTCCTCTGTCCTCACGCGGGACACCAGCTTCCCCACCCGGCGCAAGGCCAGCGCTTCAGCTCCCGGGTCTGACCCAGAGCCACACCTGTCTCTGCACCTGCCTCCGAGGTGGACTCTCATCCTCAGCCCGTGAACAGAAACAGAATTCTTTCATTACCTAAAAGCATTTTCCTTTGACCCTGTTGCCTTTCTAACAATTTCCTTTTCAGTCAACCATTTCTCCAAATTCATCTTTGCTTGGTCCCCACCTTCTATCCGTGAGCTTGGACTCTTCAAACCACTGGCTTCTGCCCTCACCGCTTCTCAGAGAGTTTATCAGCAAGGATCAGCCATATCTTTCTGACCTGTCACTTCTAATGGCCATGTGCTCGTCCTTATCACGGCCTATTTTCACATGTGAGGTTACTGCCTCTCTGTCTAATAGCCACAGCTGCTGTACATGGTAGTCAACACAACCTACCTGATTTATTGGTACTCCTCTGCATGCGGGGCATGGGAATCAGTACTTTGGATATTCACAGATCTAATGTGCAGTAAACATTTACTGCCTGTCAGGTGCTGTTCTGGGAGCTGGGAATAAGATAGTAAACAAGCTACACTTGGTCTCTGCCATCACAGAATTCACAGTCCCTTACAGGAAAGAGGCTATTTTTTTTTAAATTTTATTTTTAAATTTTTTTAAAGATTTATTTATTTACTTACTTATTTATTTGGAGAGAGCAAGTGAGGGAAAGGGCAGAGAGGGAGAGAGAGAGTGTCTCTCAAGCAGACTCCACACTGAGTGCAGAGTCCGAGGCGGGGCTCAATCTCACCACCTTGAGGTCATGACCTGAGCCAAAATCAAGAGATGCTGAACCAACTGAGCCACCCCGATGCCCCAAGAAAGAGACAATTAAGCAAGTGAGTAAAATAATGCTTCATACATGTCACAATTGGGCAAATACTGGGCACTGCAGGTTCACAGATGGAGGGCTCTAAAATTCCAGAGCTGGAAACTCAGGAAACACTCCCTGGAAGCAACCACCCAAGGGACAAAGCTAGGGAGTTTAGCGGCAGGAAGAGAAGGCTGTCCCGGGGCAGGAGGCCAGCCCTGAGCGGATCTGGTAGAGCTGAGGGGCAGGGCTCAGCACGACGGGAGCACCAGCTACCACGTGGGGGGGGCGGCCAGAGGTGAGAGCTGGAGGCTGAGCTGAAAGGCCCTGCAGGTCCGCTCAAGGAGATGAGCTTCTCCCAAGGGCAATGGGAGGCCATAGAACCCCTGAGCAGGAACTAGCATGACCCAATTTGTATTCAAAAGCTTCTCTCTGGCCGGACAGTAATGGATGCAGGGCTGAGGGACCACAGAGGAAACTGTTACAGCCACAGAGCACAGCCCAGACTGGAGCAAGGAGCACAGAGGAGAGTGAATGGACTAGACAGAAGCTGAGAAGTGGTGGCAGGTGGTGACTGATCAGACAGGGGACATGACAACAAAAGGACAGATAAGGAAGAAACCCAGATTCCTGGCTTGGGCAACTAGGAGTGAGGGAGAAATCACAGGAGGAGAAACAATTACGGGGTAGAAACGGTCAGTTTTACGAACGTAACCACAGCAGTCTCCTCTAAGCTACCACTAAAGTGATGGAGGCTACACATCCTTTGATTGGCATTCCATAACCAGTCTTTCTCAGCCTTTGTCTCTTGCCACGAAGCCCCTCACATTTTACATTAAAGAAAAAAAATCCACAGTCCAAAGACAAAGTGCTTTTGCTTCTGAGTAGCCTGACGTATGCTGGCCCTGAATGTCATTCCCTCCCCATGTGTATTTGAGAAACTGGAAGAGTACACCACCCCAAAAATCTTTCCTGACTTCCACCCCATGCTCAGGTGTCCCCTCTGTGCCCTGGGCAAGCTCCCTATGTGGATATGTTACACTGATGAGAAACACTATCGTTGGATGGCCTGGCTCCCAGTCCAACTGCACTAGGAGACCTTCTGGGCCACCAGCCACCTTACAGGCCTCTGCACCTAAGCCATTTATCCACGGACAGAATGATCTCTTCCTATCAGTCAGACACTAGGCTAGAGTTGGCAGTCCAAAAGCCTAGGCTACAGCTACACACCTGTCCTGAAGATACCTAGAGGTAAGTGGGAATCAACCCCAGCCCCCCACCCCTGACCACACACACACACACAGGTCACACTGCAGAAACATGCCCACCTGGCATGCAGAAGGCTCGCCAATATTTGCTTAGTAAATAAACTCCAAGTGTCCAAGAACAGCTAGAACTCTACGTATTAAAAACCAATAATCATGTGTATCTTGCTTCTTAAATATCGAGATAATAGCCAAATTGCACAAATTGCTAAAAGTTAAAATCACAAGTTCTAATTCTAAACAAAGGCCAGTCATATAATCCATTACCACTTTGAAAAACATTTTTGAAGGCATAATAAATTATCACTTGAGTATAACTGCAGCACCAATCTAATCAATTCATAACTGGGGTAGCTGGTATACCTGAAGTCCTAATTTCAAATAAAACAAAAAAGATCAGAAAAATTAACAATCAACCCACAAAGTTTTATGAAATAAGTCTAAGTCATGAATATTAATGCATATTTAAAAATTTTAGCCACAACCTTATTAGTAGCTATGGAAGAAATAATGTTCCTGGTAAAAAGATTTTCTACTCTTTCATACTGTTTACTAAATATTTGAAGGTGATAAGATCTTCAGATCTTTCCTTTTTTTTTTTTTTCAGCATCATCTTCCTGGTAACCTTTTCTTACTCTCCCACTACAAATAACTTACGTTACTTTAAATACTATTTAAAAAATATATGTTGCTATTCAATTATCTGTTAATTAAAGAGTCGTTTATTGAGAACCAAGGTGCAAGTACACAGGGAAATAAAGATCAATTGGCCATGTTTATTAGGGGCAGGCGGACTCAGATAGAAAAGCATAATTATAGGACATAGGGATTATGATAAATTGACTCTCTGAAGAAGGGCTATATAGATCCCCTGAAATTAAAGAGAGCATTTAATAAACTCCGACTGGACCTCAAACTGGAAGGCCTCAAATCTACCGCCAGGCACTGCAGAAGAATAGTCAGGGGGAAAAAAAAAAAAGGCGAGTTTCTGTCTCCAGGAGCTCTAGATTAGGGAGAAATAGACACCATCAAATCTGATTCAGGAGCAGATTGTGGTGAGTGCTATAAAAAGAGCCCCACACAGTGTGCTCCGAGAGACTGGGAGAGGAGAGAAGAAATATAGTGGGAGGCGTGGAGAGAGGGAGGTGTGGAGAGAGGGAGGCAGGGTAGGCAGGTTTTGAAGCAGGCTTTCAAGGAAGACCAGGACTTTGACAGCAGATGCTGGTGTGAAACAGTACAAATGAACCATTCTTGTCACACCCAAAATTACAGCCCTTCCAACAGCTCAAAGGCTCGGAAAGGAAACAGAATGCTTATATGACCAGAGAACAGATTCGCCTCCTCACCTGTGGCGTGTGCGCTGTGTGGGAAGGGGGCCGGGGCGGGAGGACGGTGTATGAGTGCCCCTCCCCCTATATCAGCAACCCCCACCCCACCCCATCCCTGGCTCCGTGAGGCTGTGGGATCCAGACTAAAGTCCTGCTCACCACAGCAGCTTTGGGAGGTGCCGGAGGGATGGGTCAGAGAAGAGGAGGGAGGCCACCAGGGAGACCCGCCTTCCTCCCTGCAAGACTGTCATGCTGGGCGAGGGGGTCACTGGGGCTTTGACATGGTTCTTTCTTCCTTGCTTTAGGATTTCCTTTTGTCAAAAGCTACTTTTTCTCCCTGAGCTTCCCAACTTGGCTCCAACTTCAAAAACTGATCTTTTAACAACACTACCACTGTCCACGTTATTACATTCACTTCAGCTAATTCCGGGCATTACTAAGCGGAGAGCATTTCCCAGCCATACTGTAATTATCAGCATCCTAGTTTAGTACAGGTGACTCTGGAGAGAGCCTTGTTTTCTGAGCCCCAAAATGGTTAAACTCTGAGGGAGAAGAGCTGATAAAAGACCGTAGCAACTGCACAGTACACACACTGGGAAGAGAGGTGGAATGCCATGTCTGCCCATGTTTTCTCCTCTTGGATCTGAATCCACATTCCAACCTCCTGTCTATCACTGCCTTCCATCACTCTCCAGTGCCCTAAAAAGTCCGGTAATTACATATCAAACCCCCCCAATGCACCCCATTTTGACATTTCTTTCAGGAATAAGCTGGGGCTCATGCCTCTGAACCTCAAGCTCTACCAAAAAGCTGACCAGACTCCAAGGTCTGTTGCAAAGGCCGTTTCCTAGAAGTAGGTGTCAGCCTTCCCCTGTGACTCAGTTCCCCCTTACCCTCTGAGCTGAAATTCAGGTGTACCTGGCAGACACCTGGAGTACTCAAGTACGTGCGGAGCTGCAGTTATTCAATGCTTCTCTGTCCTAAAACCACAGATCTCCTCTGCGGCTTTACCATATGTTTATCACCTTGGCTTGGCTCCTGCAGCCCGCAAGGGCGTGACTGAATTGAAGCCTTCCCATAAGAAAGCCGTGGAAGTTTTCCTCCACACACCACACTGAACTGAACCCTCCGAGTTGGACTTAAAATGTGTTTTCACTAGGAACCGCGGACTGGTGAGAGCCCGTAGCCCCGCGGGAAAAGGTGGTGTTGAGCCAGAAGCAACTCTTGCAATATCTGCTGCTCAGGTGGCAGATTTCTCAACTTGTCTCGTGTCTGGATGGCCTTCCGTCTCTAAAGGACTCGTTTTGCAAATACCCTTTTGTCTTTGCCAATGTCATTTGTTTCCTACTAGCATGCTTTTAAAACATGCCCTCCAACATCTTAGCTAACAATCTGCAAACCCATCTGACA